TCAAATAGGTAAATTCTTTAATTGAACCAAGGAATCAATTGGTATAGGTGGTAGTTCTTTCTTTTTTGCTCTATTTGGATCCATTTTCTCTAGTAGTTGAGGTGACTATGTACTTCTTTGATCCATATTACTTGTATTATTTACTAAAGGATTTAAAAACAATTTTTTTGAATTTTTTTCAAGGTCTTCTAAAAAAAAGCCTTTAAATTCTTTAAAGAGATTTCTAAATGTATTTAAATCATGTCTTAGAGCTAAAGTCCTAATGTTTGGCAAAGAAGATTTAGTAGTTCTTAAAGATTCTAGATTTTCCAAAGATTATACTAATATGAGTTTATGAGACCTAGTGGAGCGATGTATTAAACTTTTATGATCACAACATCATCTCTAAAAATTCAAAATTAAAAAAATTAAATAAGCTAGATAAAATAAATTAATAAATTTAAATTTTTATTATCTTGTATTTATCAACTTGCAACTTACTTAGACACTTCTTTCAACAAAGAAAGAAAATACAAAAGAAATTATCTAAAAAAAGAATATTTATTTGAATATCATTTTAAGTAAGGCTTTTCTTTTCTTAAACTATTATACGGGATTACCTCATGTAGAACTGACCTTAAGCAATATCTAATGCAAAGATATTTTATTATTGGAAAAAAGACTGAATTCTTTTTTTTTATCTTTTATATTAATATTTTTAGGAAATTATCTACTACTTAGTTAACAAAAAAAATTATTGGATAAAAATATTTGTTGCAAACATGAATCTAATTTGAAGAAGAACTCATCTGGCTACATTGTTAGCTATCTTTGTTATTGAATCACTATAAAAAAATTCTAAAAAATCTCCTAATTGATTATAGATTAGATTTAGAAGATAGGATTACAAGTATAGGTTCTATTTTAATCCACTATATTTAAGTCTTAAAAAAAAAGAATAGATGAATACTTCTTTTGCTTCTTCTTCTTAGGTTCTATTCTCCAAGTCTTTGCTCTTTGTTCCACACATATGTGCTAAAATTTGAAATAATTGAAATAATTAAAAAATATTAAGAAACTTAAATTTTTTATTTTTTCAATGCCAAGTTTTTTCTTCTAGCTCCTTGTTCCTCAATCCACAACCTATGTTATTTCAATAAGAATTTAAAAGCTTAATTGATTGTCTCAAGAGGACTTATGTCTAAAATGTAGCTTTTGAATTTGAATTTTTTCTTTCTTCTTTTCCTTTATTTGGTCACTTCTACCTCTTCTTTGTTTTTCTTTTCTCTTTTTAATATCTTTCTTCAATTTTTGGTGAAGTAATTCTAAAATGGTTGTTAAAGACTTTGCTTCTATACTACACTTGTAAATAGGAGGATTATAGCAAGTGGAGAGGGTGATTAAATCCCTCTACTACTAGAGAATTGCTATACTATACTTATAAATAGGAGGATTATAGCAAGTAGAGAGGGTGATTAAATCCCTCTACTACTAAAAAATTGCTGCCAATAAGAAATTTACAATTAGATGAAAAGAAAAGACATAACAAGTGGAGAAGATGATTAAATTCTTTCAACAACTAGAGATGGGCCTTCAACAAGGAATTAATAAGGAAAGGAAGTAATGACCAATTTTAAAGAAGAATTTCACCTTCAATGAAGATTCTCATTTAATCTTAATTTAATTCAAGTCCTTAAAATAATTCTAAATCCTTAACTAAACTTCCTTCTATTTCACTCTAAAATTCTTCAAGCTCTTTCTTCAAATTAAGTTCCTACAAAACAATAATCTATAATAACACCAAAAGATTATAATAGTACAAGATAAAATAATTTAGACACTTAAAATAATAAAATAATTTCCTTCCAAACAAGCCTAAGACTATAAAATAAATCCTTCCAATAGACACACCAAAATATGACCTAAAATAAATCTCCACTTCTTAGAAGTTTATTCTAATTTATAGTAAGTAAATTAACTATGTAAAATTTTAGAAGTTATACTTATTAATTAAATCCTAATCAACTCACTCTTTAATTATTTTAAATATTTTAATCATTAAATAAAAATCTACAATTAATTCACACTCACAATAGCAATCTATGTTCAACATACATATTTATGAACTAAAAATCTTCTTTATCCACTTTTAGAGGAAAAATAACTATACAATAAGTTCGAAAAGTAGTAGGCACTAATTATGTGATTACTTTAATGGTTGATTAATTAATCAAGTGATTATAAATTCAACTCTCTAGATAATGCCTTTCAAGTAATGGTTACCATTTACTTAAACTTATAACAAGTGATAAAAAAAAAAAATAGAACTAGAAAAATGGAAGTAGAAAAATGAAAAAAAGATGGATAGAATAAGCATTTGGATGAAAATAGTTTCTATTGGATGAAAATAAGTCTAATTAAATAGAAACAATGATTTTGGATGAAAATAAATGTAACTAGATGGAAATAGTACTATTAGATGAAAATATGCTCAATTAGATGAAAACAACGTTGTAAGATGAAAATAGGCATAGTTTAATGTAAACAGTACCAATGGATGAAAATAGGCTGAATTAAATGGAAACAATGCAGTTGGATGAAACCAGGCACTAGAATTCAAACCAAAGATGAGAGAGAGGAAGAACAAGGTTTTGAAAGGGCCTTAAATATCCAAGCCCTTAAGCTATTTATTGACAATTACTATTGCTAGTAATTTACAAATAAAAACTAATTTAAGAGCCATTCTACAAGCTAATCTATGTAAGTAGTACAACTTATCATTAAGAAGTCAACCTACATCCCCCATGATCTCTAACCAATGTCTTTTATAGAAAGGACTAATAGTTGGCACCAATTTGTCACAAGGTGATGAAAAATCACCATGGATATCAATCAATGCATAGATTTTTAATTCTTAATAACTTAATTAGCTAAAATTTATGCAAAAAAATTTACAAACATAGAAATATTAACCTTTGAAAGAGATACTTTAAGAAACAACTTGATTTGTTGTCATAGAAGTAATGGTTAAAGAATAGAATAGCTCTCTGTCTTCTTCTTTTATGATCACTTGTGGCTTCAAGAGCAAAGTAATTTTCTATCTTCTTCCTTCACCATCACTTGTAGTTTCAAGAGTAGAGTAATTCTTTATCTTCTTCCTTCACCATCGCTTGTGGCTTTAAGAGCAAAGTAACTCTTTATCTTCTTCTATTATACTCTGACTACAACTAACTTTATTTTTCCTAATAACCTTTATTTTTTTACAATTAATAAATAAATAATATTATATCTTATCAAAAAACCAAAAATTAATTAAATAAAATTTTGGGGCATAATTTATAGCTGACAGATGGTGCATCATGTGCAAGCTATTTGTCAAAATAGGACGGACCAAGAGTTCTTTTGCCACAGCAAGTGCACCTTATCCTCAAATATATGGTCATCTTCCATCTGGAGGTTTTTTTTTAAAAGACATCACTTCTTATATAGAAATAAGAAAGTTATATAAATCTAAATAATAATTCAAAACAACAAAAATTTTAAAGCAATCTTACAATTACTACCTCTCGGTAAACACACCAAAATGTGAGTATAAATTTTTACTCCTCAATTCAAGTTACAAGATGGCCTCAATCAAGCAAATAATAAGAATAAAAGAAGAACAACCACAAAAAAATTGAAATAAATGACATGAAGCAAATACAACATCCAAAACTAAATCATAGTCTGTTCACTATGTTTTCATCCAATAAAAAATTAAAATAAAAAATAATAGATATATTTTTAAATACTTAATTTTATTATCTTTTCAATGATGTAAGAAACATATAAATCCGAATTACTATGAGTAAATTATGAAGTATTAAACACATGAAATAAATAATTGAAAAGTGAAGTAAAAATATTTTATCTCAAAAGTAACTTGCTTATAGATCAACGGTTCGAGCCTTACCAAGGCTCACATGTAGTGCATAAGGGTGTCTAAGAGAGGCCACGAAGCCTTAGTCTTATCCTCCTAACTACCTTCAAAGTGCTACAACCCATATGGGACTTGTGCATTCTCCTTCCTACAAGCACTACACTAGCTACTAGTCCTCCTATTTTCTACTAGAAGGATCAATATTTTTGTAATTTTTATCTCACCATGGTGTTCAAAAACATCCAATTATCCAAAGAACCTTGAGTGGCGTTCAATTCTTTCTCTATTTCTTCATAAAGGCTCCCAAAGTGGTAAAACTCATTTTTACCAAGAACTTGAAAATTGCTCTAAAAATTCCTAAAAAATTCTAAATAAATTCTAAATAAAATTTGAAAAATCCTATAATATTTCTATAATGCTAATATCAATTTAAGGCTATATTTTCCTACCTTGGTAATTTTTGATAATAATAAAAATCAATTTAAATCCACTATAAATCTTATTTTTTTATATCAATAACTAAAATGATATGAGGTTCTTTCTCATGCTTCTTCTAACTACTAACATTTATAGGTTTTATAAGTAGTACATATAGATACAAGACCAATATAAATATTGGTCTTAATAAGTAATCCTTATTATTCAATAATGAATAAAAATACTAAACTAACAAAGATAATTGCCTTAAAGACTTACTAAGACTCCATTTCTACCACTAAAATTCTAATTTTCTATTTCTCTAAGGATTTCTGCACTACTTACTATATCTTATAATTTAAAGCATTCTAAATGCATACTTTTATCCTAAAACAAAAAATGAGTCAATTTGATGACTTATAATGTCTAAAAAAAATCCTTCTTTAAATTCTTAATTCAATTCTATATTTTTTTTGTTTGTTATTTATATTTTTTATTTTATCTTATTTTTATATTAAATTTTATCTATTAATCAAAAGTCATTTAAATATAATATATCATCTATGAATGAAATTTTATCTACTAATAAGTTTTCATCCAAGAAAATCCTAATTCATCCAATTTAAATGTAATTCAATCCAATTTAAATCTAATTCCATCCAAATGATTTGAATCATACACTTAATTTATCTTCTAAAACTTCAACAAGATAACTTTATTAACATTGCCTACTTCCTGATGTTGTACTTGATTGTTGTACTTGATATATAAATCTCAGCATTTTTGAAAAAATGGATTTGGACAGAGATTGAAAATGGCCACCTTCTTCATGCCGATCTGATTGTAATAGCCTTCACAAATTATCCCCAACGTCATTTGACTTGACCTTCCGATGATGACTAGTACCACCTCTTCCTTCACGGCTGCCTTTCCTTCAATGCAAATCTCTCCTTCTCTGATTGCTACTAATTCTACTGATATGTGCTACAGATTGTGTCTAACTATAGATTACTAGTACAAAAACAGGAACTATCCAACAAGGCTGCAGGAATCTTGACCACTTTTTGCAAGGACTCTATCACCTTCGTACTTGCTCTCCTAGTAAGCAATTGCTTTTGTCACACCATCTTGGAAAATGGGGGCGAGGAGCACAGCAAAACAAAAACCATGACTACTATTGAAATGTACCATATGCTAGCAGAAGGAGCACCAGCAGGCTCTGTAGGTTCGGATCAGCTACGACAATTTGTGAATGGAGAAAAGATGATCAAGCCAAATAAGATCTACAAAGACCAATTGCTCCCGTCAGCAGCAAGCTCCCCAATCACCGAACGCCACTTCCAGACTAATCCAAACTTGACAAGTCCTGGAATTATAAAGCTACGTTGGAATACCGCGGCCAAGGAAGAGGAGTCGGCCAATTCCTTGTGGTCTACCCTCTGGACGAGCTATAGAATGAATCTAGAGATGTCCAGCCACTTCCTCTCGCAACCGTGGGAAAAAAAAAAAAAAAAAAAAAAAAAAAAAAAAGGAACGACCCACTAGCTCTTAGAATCAGTTCAGCGACCTAATTAAAGCCATCCAATGACCCGCCTTGAGGCCACCACTTTTCATCACGCCCACACAACACGCACACGCCGACATCAAAGAGACCAGTCCCACAAATTCAAGGAATTCAAATTTCCCACTCTCCCTAGCGGCTCTTTCTTCCTTTTGCAACACGCGGAATAATTGCAGACACCGCGAAGTCGTCGGAGATCTCCACAGCCGTTTAAACTTCACAATGCCGATGTTGAGCAGCACCGCAAGGGAAATCAAGAACCAATGGAGCCTCAGCTTGCAAACACAGCGCCATTCCAAACTAGGACAGCTCCGCCACCCAATCGCAATATAGCATAGGGAACTCCTACTATCACCGCAGGGATTTGATCCACTACAACGAGGATCTCCACCACAGCACCGCACGCACGTAATGAGAAAAAATGACCCCGATAACCTCCGTAGCAGTCAGTCCCACCCTCGATGTCGGCTGCAATTGTTTAAGCAAGCAGACAAAATGCCAAGGAAGATAGAATGTGTGATTTGACGAAGTGCATCCAATGTAGTGTGATGTCTGGCAAGCTCCATGGAGAGGTGCAGCACAAATCTGTGTTTTACAGATCGTGGCCACACCACAAAGTTCAGCAACCGCAACAGCCCGCCACCGATGGAAATCCAAAGAAAAAAGAAAAATGGATCTACACTTGGACTGCCATAGCACTGAATCCAACAGCCGCATGAGCTCCACACCGTTGACGTTGAACAAACCACAACTCGCGCAACCCAAAAAATAAAACACCAAATGGAACCTAGACAATGCCGATAGCTCCAACTACTGGAACCATGATAGGAAGAACGTAGCACAATCAGTAGCCCCAACCGCTTCTCAAGTCCTCACCGGAGTCCAACATCAGTCGAAGAAGGACCTAGGCAACCCTCGCACTTTTGCAATCCTCTACTCCAAATGCCGCTCCAGCTGCCTTGAGATCACGGACAAGAGAGAACAAGAAAATAACAAAAGCAATCATTGCACTGCCACCCTACAATGCCGCTCTACAAAATCGCAAGAATTACAAGAACCAAACCAGCAGCACAACTTCTAATCCACCGCAAAAGCACTTAGAGCCCTTGCTTCTAGCCGCAAGAATCCCGAAACCAAATTCCAAGGCGAGAAAATACCCCACTTCCGTTACAACATCAGAACTCAAAAATTACAAAAAAAAAAAAAAAAAAAAAAAAAGGAAAAAACGAGAGAGAGGATTCAGGGCGCCCCTGATTCCTATCAGCAAGGACATTGCCGCCATTCAGGGGCAGCTTCTCGCCTTTTGGATCACCCTTCTATTTTTATTTTATTTCTTCCTTCTTCTTTTTTTCATTTCTCTTTCTTTTTCTTCTTTCTCTTTTTTCCTTCATCTCATCTTTTTCTTCCTTCTTTTCTTCTTCTTTCTATTCTTTTGATCTTTTTTTTTTTTTTTTTTTTGATAACAAATACATATATATGTTTTAAAAACTATTAATAAATTTTTAAAAAAATCTTTTTTCCTTTTGACAATGAAGGCTACTCCCATTAAACCATCATCTAATGTTAGATATAAAAAACATCTCCAACATGAAAATTTGGCTTAATAAATTCTATCCTAAATTGCATATTTGCTATTGGCAATCTATTTTCTATTTCTCCTAAAAAAATCTCCTATTAATTCAAAAAATCTATGATTTTAAGCACCATAGGTGTATTTTTTATATTAAATACTTAAGTGAATTAATTTAGTGACTCATACAAGTTCTTATCAATATATTTCTTGAATGCAGCTAGCTTGTTTTGTAATAAGCTATAGATTGTTTCAAATGGCAGTTAAACTCTTTCTTGAAGATCAATTGAATAATCATATGGACAATGCTCTAGGAAAATATGGGCATTTTTTTTCTCAAAAACATCTTAATAATCTTAGTATTGACTTAAAATGTCATTTGTAGTCTTTTCACCATCAAAAATAGATATGGCATATATGACAAAAGCTAAACCTTCTTTTGTAGCATGCACAAAAGCTCTTGCACCTATAAATTAAGATTTTGTTGTATTGGACTTATGATTTTTTACTTGACTAATAAAATATTCGATTAAACTACAAAAAAAATTAAGATCATCTAAAATCTAATCTATTTGAGGATTATAGCTTTTAGCCATGATAATCCTAAAATAATTAGATTGCAAGGAGATCTAATCATATTAAATATTACTAAGCTATTATGACTATTAGTAGCTACATCTAAAAGAATAGTTTTATAAGTAATATCTCCAAAAGAAAACAAACAACTATATATTATTTCTACATGCATGGGTTTGATTTTCTTGACTAAAGATATTTCTTGTTTTTGACAAAATCTTTATTTATAAAATAGGATAAGGCTCTTGAATCTATTAAAGCAAAGACTTTGTGATTTTTTGGTCCTAAATAAAATTCTATTGTAAAACAAGGTGAGGGATTTGACGAGAGAATAGGACCTTTGTTAGGTATTTCACAAGATTCTAGGCACACAATTCTTATTATAGCTAGAGAAATTTGTTTTCCAATACATTGTCCTCTTTGGCAACTATACTCCTCATCTTGTGATTATGTTGTTTTTTTGGATAATGTTGAGTATTGTGCTTGGATTCTCTATAATATAGGTATGTATCTTTTTAACAATCTCAAATCTTTTTTTGCTTAATAAGAAGTTTAAAATGTACCTATCATGGACATACATTGGAAGATTCTTCGAATATTCTTCTAGAATATTCTCTAAAGATTCTCTAAAGATTCCTTTAAAAGGTTCTAGAAGATTCTTAGAATATTCCCTAAAGATTCTCTTAGAAGGTTCTAGAATATTCTGATAGATTCTAGGAAGTTGCTCGAGAAGTTTCTTAATTAGTAGAAGTTGTTGGAGAAGCGTCCTAGTTAGCGGAAGTAGCTCGAGAAGCTTCCTATTCAGTAGTATATATAGGAGTCGAGGCTAAAAAGTTCTTCAGTCTCGACAACACATCTCTTGGAGTTCTAGCTCACCTTTCTGGTGTTGTTCTTGTACTCATCTGTTTAATCTAGTTCTGCCACTTCTTCTTGAACTTCTTGTTAGATTTCAAGTCTGTATTTTGTGTCCGTGACAGTTTGTCGAGACTACATTTTCACTAGTATCAGAGCTAGTTCCTTCTTGTTAGAGAGTGGATTACCCCTCTTCTTGAAGGTGTGCTAGTGTTTTAGAGGTTGCGGATTACCCTCCTCTAAACTGATATCTCTTCTTTCTCAATATTGGAGCCTTATTCTTCTTGGAGAGAGTGGATTACCCCTCATCTTGGAGTCTTAAGGCGTTTTAGAGGTTGCGGAGTACTCTCCTCTGAACCAATATTGTCCTCTTGTCAAAACTCTTTTTTCTTCTTTCTGAAGGTTAGCCGAAGGTTAAGACGTTAAAATGGCTGAAAGTTTGGAATCCAAACTAGACGCCATCATAAATGCTCTTGCCTCGTTGTCACATAGGACAACAGAGATCGAAGGAGTCATAGTAGGACTCCATAACAATAGAGCATCTGGGATAGCGCCATCTAAAGCATATCAGCCTCAAACTTCTGCGCCAGAAGAAGCAGTTCTACCTCCATTTCAACAAGATCGAGTAGTCCTACAACGAAAGGAGCCTCGAGTTAGTCTTCCGGATAAGTTTGATGGAACTCATTCCAAGTTTCGAGGTTTTGTCAACCAAATCAGGTTGATAACAATTTTACAGCCTGAACGTTATCCGACGGAGGAAGCGCGTGTTGGGCTTGTTGGAACCTTGCTTACAACACAAGCTCTGTCTTGGTTTACTCCCTTGTTCGAGAAGCGATCGCCAATCTTGAGCAACTTTGAAATATTCTTGGAGGCGTTTGCAGAAGCATTTGGCGAGCATGATAAAGTTCGATGGGCTACAACAAAGATCCGATCGCTACGACAAGGAACACGCTCTGCATCAGTCTATGCCTCGGATTTCAGACAATTGGCAAGTGACATTAATTGGAGTGAAGAGGCGTTGGTGAGTCAGTTTTATTGGGGCTTGAAGGATGATGTGAAGGACTTGCTGTTATCTCTTCCTGATCCTCAAACGCTCAACGAAGCTATTAGCCAAGCTGTAAAGTGTGACAACCGCCTATTCCAGCGTCGCCAAGACCAACGTCCAAGACACCAAATGACTCGTTACGACGTGACTATGTCTGCAAATAGCTTAAACTCACATTCGGAGGCAACAGACATGCAAATCGACACGGCGCGTGTCCGATCTCTTACTCCAATAGAGAAGAAACGGCGTATGGAGGAAGGGTTATGTTTGTACTATGGAGAAGAAGATCACAAGGTTGGAAATTGCCCCAAGAAGCAAAATTGGCACCCTGTCAAGACTAGAAGTGCGATGATTCCGGAAAACGACGACGCCCAGCCACAGTAGGAACCGTGCGGCTCGACAATCTAATATCACGACAACAATCAGGTTCCTCCTTCTCTGTCCAACCTGCCCGTTGTTTTACAATTCTTTTGTTTTTAGGCCCTCAAAAACAAAAAACTTTAGCTTTATTGGATTCGGGGGCATCTACTTGTTTTTTAGATGAAGAGTTTGCTAAACGCCACAAGATCCGTTTAGTACAGAAGTCCAAACCTGTTCACGTAGAGGTGATAGATGGACGACCCTTATTGTCAGGCAACGTTACCCACGAATCAGAACCTATAGAAGTGGTGTTTAAGGACCATAGTAGTCACGTTATTTTTAATATCATTAGAACCCCATCAAGCCCTGTTATCCTTGGTCTTTCTTGGTTAGAAGATCATAATCTGTCCATTGATTGGAGGCTACGAAGGATAACATTTCCTGAAAAAAATAATAATAAACCTGTTGGTAGAACCTACATGAAGAAATCCATGTTTATTGGAGCGAGAGCGTTCCTAAGATCGTCCAAGGAAGGCGCACCATTTGTCATTTATGCAGCTCCAACTAGCGGCGAGAATATCTCAACATCGAATATACCAGAGCAATATAGGGATTTTGAAGACGTGTTTCAGAAGAAGAACGCCGATATACTGCCGAAACATCGACCATATGATTGCGCCATAGACTTAGAGGAAGGAGCGCAACCACCTTTTGGTCCAATATACAACCTATCGCAGACGGAGTTGGCACAATTGCGGAAGTACATCGATGAGAATCTAGCCAAGAATTTTATTCGACATTCAAAGTCGCCAGCTGGAGCACCAATCCTATTCGTGAAGAAAAAGGATGGCTCACTGCGGATGTGCGTGGACTACCGAAGACTCAACAAGGTGACCAAGAAAAATCGCTATCCCTTACCTTTGATCTCCGGCCTCTTAGATCAACTTGGACGTGCAAGGATTTTTACAAAGATTGATTTAAGAGGAGCCTACAACCTTGTGCGAATCAAAGAAGGAGATGAATGGAAGACAGCCTTTCGTACAAGGTATGGCCATTTTGAGTACAATGTCATGCCTTTTGGTCTTACCAATGCTCCAGCGGTCTTTCAGCATATGATGAACGACATCTTTCGGGAGTACCTCGATGACTTTGTTGTCATCTATCTGGATGATATTTTGATATTTTCCAAGAATAAAGAAGAACATAAGAAGCACGTTTGTTTGGTTCTTGAAAAACTACGCGAACGAGGACTCTACGCCAAGTTGGAGAAGTGTCAATTTCACCAGAATGAGATGGAATTTTTGGGCTTCATTGCGACTACAGAGGGCTTGAAGATGGATCCAAAAAAGGTAGAAGCAATTATATCTTGGGAAGTTCCGAAGACGGTTAGAGATGTTCAGTGTTTTCTTGGATTTGCTAACTTCTATCGGATCTTCATCAAGAATTATTCTCAAGTTGCTGCACCACTCACGCGTCTAACAAGAAAAGACAAGCTTGAATGGGGATCACAAGCAGCAAAAGTATTTCAAGATCTCAAGACGGCATTCACTACGGCTCCAATCTTGGTACACCTTGACTTTGCAAAGGCTTTCTATTTAGAGACCGATGCTTCAGATTTTGCTTTGGGAGCTGTGCTTTCACAGATGGGCATAGACAAGAAGCTTCATCCAGTTGCGTTCTATTCACGGAAGTTCTCTGCTGCTGAGATCAACTACGAGATCCACGACAAAGAGCTGCTTGCTATAGTGGATGCCTTCCAAGAGTGGCGTCACTTCCTCGAAGGAGCTGCACAT